TTGTGAGAACTGGAACATTTTGGCGAGGGCTTGGATTTCTGGGCTAGGGATGCCCAGTCTGTTAACCCTCCACATGCAACAGCCCTTTCTTTTTCTTTTCTTTTCTTTTTTTTTTCTTTCAATTTTCGAGACAGGGTTTCTCCGTGGCTTTTGGTTCCTGTCCTGGAACTAGCTCTTGTAGACCAGGCTGGCCTCGAACTCACAGAGATCCGCCTGCATCTGCCTCCCGAGTGCTGGGATTAAAGGCGTGTGCCACCACTTCCGGCTGCAACAGCCCTTTCTAGGGAACACTACATCTACATGACAGAAGTTCCAAAACCTCTGCTCTGTATTTTCCCTTAGAATTACTCCCTCCATCTTGCTGTTTCCTCACCGTTACCGTATTCCAGGTTTCCAGCCTGGGAGCTTTACCTGTATGCTTCTCCCTTCATCCCCAAATGCTTCTTAAAACTATGTTTGTGGGTCAGTGATTCTCTTACTGAGGAAATTCTTGCCCATCTCTCAGGTTTCTGCTGCAGGAATGTGTTAGTGTAGGGAATCAGATTATGGCCTGTGTTGCCCGTCCTCACGTATAACACCTTCCTTGCCCTCTAGTCTTTAACATGCTGAAAGGGAAAGGGGAAAAAAAAACCTTAAAAGTTCAGCTAATTATAGGTTTCCCTGGATGAGTGTTTAAGGTATTTCCTGTAATTATATAAAGATATAGTGATGGTGATGAACTAGGAGGCTTCAGAACTGCCTCAGGCTCCAGCAAGATAAGCAGGCATCTGTTTTTGAAGGACCACATCACCTGAATCCTGCGACCTAACCCTCTGGAAGCAACTGTTGTGTCTACCCATTTGTAGTCCCTTGTGGAGTTTGATAGCCATTTGGGCAAGAAACTGTTCTTGCCTGGACTGATGCATAAACTGGACACAGAGAACCCGCAGAGAGAGGACTGCTGAACTTGCCTAAAGGTGAGATGATCTTTCAGGGTTCCTGATTCATGAAAGAGTCTGCGAGACATTCTGCAGGACACAGCAGATAGTGACTGAACTGCCTTTGAAATTTCCTGCTTCATTGAAATGTCTGCTGGAAACTATGGGCCTGTAGGCCGAAGATGGATGCCCCAATGGTACAGAGGAACTTTGGGTGACTGTCCAGGCAGCGAGATTCTCTGTGATTTCTAGAGTTTTGTAAGTTGCTTACTTCTTATTTACTTAGGTAATAGTATATCCTTCTGGAGTCTTTGATGGAGTTGAAGAATAGATAGATAGTTATAGTTATAGTTTTCCTTTGTTATGAGAAAAGATAAAGTAGATATAAATATTGTAACTATAATTCTTACTTGATAACTGTTTTGTTATATGTAATTTTTCTATGTTAAAGTTAAAGCCTTCCTTCCTTTTTGTTTAAACAGAAAAAGGGGAAATGATGGAGGAAGGTCATTGGTTAAATAAAGAAACTGCCTTGGCCCTGATTGGTTAGAACATAGGTGGGTGGAATAAACAGAACAAAATGCTGGGAGGAAGAGGAAGTGAGCTCAGAAATCATGCAGCTCCTCTCAGGGGCAGATGAAATGAAGCAAGCCGCCAGGTCAAACATGCTGAATCTTTCCCGGTAAGAGCACCTTGGGGTGCTACACACATTATTAGAAATGGGCTAGTCCAGGTGCGAGAGTTAGCCGAGAAGAGGCTAGATATAATGGGCCAAGCAGTGTTTAAAAGAATACAATTTGTGTGTTATTATTTCGGGTAAAGCTAGCCGGTGGTGGGAGCTGGGCAGGATGAAAAGCAAGCCCACAGCTCCTCCTACAGATACTTCAGAGCCTCTACCCACCCTTCCTTGGCTGACCCTCCCTCTCTCCCCCCAGCCCCAGCCGCCTTTTGCTGCTGAACTCTGCTGATTCTCCTCCTTTTGCTACTGCTGGCTTCTCTCCACTCAGATTTTGTTGTTACTGTTGTTTCTGGCTGTCATTGTCATTATTTGCCTGTTTAGAGCCATAGCCTAGAGTGACTTCTCAGATGGTATCATTTCCATTGAGAGAATACTGGCTTTGTATTTCCAAGTCACCTTAGAGCCCCAGGAACACAGGAGCTGTGAAAACACAGGGGGAATGTATGTTTGAGCAGATGAAGTACAAAAAGCTTCTTTCCAGGTGAATGAATCAGAAAATGGCCTTGCCCAGATGAGGAAGCTTAGAGGCCCTAGTTTGAATGGGGACTAGATTTTAGACATCATGGGGTATAACCATGCTGCTGCTTGTAGCAGGGTTTAAAAGTATATGTAACAACAGACTCCTGTATGTTATGGCTACACTTTGCCTCACAAGTTCCAAACTTCGGGTCTAGGGGTTCTGGGGTGTAACCCCTCTACACCACTGCCAGTTTGGTTGTCCTCTGTGGCTCCTTCAAATCAGTTTGATCATAGCATTGATCCCATTGTAGAATGCAGGCCAGTGGGTTTTAATGAATTTATCGCCGAGTAGACATTACTGTGGTCTGTTTGTCAAGCAGTCCCACCTCTTCGTGAGGGTCCCTCGCTCCCACTCCAGCCCCAGACAGGCATCCATTGCTCAGTGGTCAGTTGCAGTAGCTAGCACAGCAGTGTCTCTTCCTATTAGTGGTTTAACACCTCTTACTTTTGTAGTTATTTTTGGTCTTTTGATCATTTTTAATAATTTTTTAAACAAGGACTTTGGGATTAGTTGCCTGTGGAATTCATTCTGTTTCTGGAATTTGTGCTTACTACGAGAGTTTTTGTTCAGGAAGCATTTTAGACTGATAGCCTGCATTGTAGAATATTATTGCTCTCTGTTTTCCTCTGTATTCTTGGCCAAGAGCATAGCTTATGGTTATTACATCATTGCTGTGGGAAATTCATTCTACTTGTATTTATATGCCTCAGATATTTCTCTAAACTTGTGAGGCAAAAAGCCACATGTCTTCAGTCTTCCACTGCTAGAGCTTCCCTGGGAGCTGGTTCGTCAGCTCAGCTGACCCCAGGGGAGGCATGGCTTATCCTGGTTCAGCTGAAGACTGTTGACTTGGAACACCATTCCCGTTCAGTCCGTGTGGTACCTGGCTTTCAGGAGACACTGTTGGTAATCATGCACACCAAGGCCTCTATTTCTTTTTGTTTACTGTACTCTAAAGTCTCCTGTGGCAACACAAGCTGGGAACAGGCCACTACAGAAGCAAAATACCACCTTCCTATCACCCACCCTGTCAAGGCAGAAAGATTTATGTAGAATATTGATTAGTGACATTTAGAATCTTTGTAACTCATTTACTTTCTCAACTATAATTTTTTTTTTTTTTGAGACAGGGTTTCTCTGTGGCCATGGAGCCTGTCCTGGAACTAGCTCTGAAGACCAGGCTGGTCTCGAACTCACAGAGATCCGCCTGCCTCTGCCTCCCGAGTGCTGGGATTAAAGGCGTGCGCCACCATCGCCCGGCTCAAGTATAATTTTTAAATTATTCTCTCATGTATTACATCCAAACCATAGTTTCCCTCCCTCCAGTTTCTCACCCCCCAATCTGCCTTCTCCCCCAGAATCACCCTCTTTTTGTCTTCCCTCAGAAAAAAAGCAGGCCTCCCAGGGATATCAACCAAACATGGCATAATATGTTATATTACTCTATGATCAGGCATATACCATCACGTCAAGGCTGGACGAGGCAACCTAGTAGGAGGAAAAGGGTCCCATGAGTAGACAAAAGTCAGCGGCCACCCTCACCCTCGCCGTTAGGCATCCCATAAGAACACAAGCTACTCAGCCATAGCATATGTGCAGAGGACCTAGGCCAGACTGCTGCAGGCTCCCTGATCTCTGCTCACTTGCTGCATGTGAGTATCAACAGTTACTGCTTGATAACAGACACCCAGTTTTCTAGGACACTTGCTTTACTTCACTAAGTCATTCTGAAATCTATGGTGACCTCCTAATGAGTGGCAAGTAGACCAAAAGTGGCTGGCCTTTTCCTGCGGAGCTGGGTGTTGATTTGCCTTTCAGCCCGCTAGAAGTTGATCTCCACTCTCTATCTCTGGAAGGCTAAGGGAGGTCAAAACGCCTTGGAGCTCTGGGCGTTCACGTGAATTCTGGACATGACCTTATCTGGATAAGTCCTGTACTTACCTGTCTGGATAATCACAGGTACGCACACACGTACCTGAGTTTTTGTTTGGTCTCGGAATGTGTAGTGATTGATTAATTCTAGAGACTCTTGCTGTTCTCACACACATGTTCATGTTACTATGTACGTTGCTTATGGCTTTCAGTTCTGCTTGACTCAGGTCTTTTATCTAAACTTAATAGAAACAAGCAAGCTTAGCTGGGCTGTGGTAAGCAGGGCTGGGTAGACTCCCTGAGCTCACAGGGAGGCTGGCTTGGTTTGTGTGTCTGTGAAATGCCCTCTTGGCGAACGGAGAGATTCCTGATTGCTGGAGAGTCAGGCTCTTCTTGCTCTACTCAAGACTTGAATCAATTTGCTGCTGACTTGGTTTGTGAATGGCAACTTATAAAAACTTTTTTAGTTTACTTTTTTCCCAATGGTTCCAAAATTGGAAACAGTGGGATTTAATTCACTGAGTTTTGGTTTCATATTTGTCTTACACCTTGTTCATGGAAGCTAAGGTCAGTATTAATAGTCAAAGACAGTTTGCGTGTGCATACTAGCCGTCTTCTATTACGCACGATAATGGCTTTGAGTACAAACGGCATAGAGAGCCAGTGCTTTCATCTCCTGAAAGGAAGGCGTTTCTTGAGTTCGTGACACTTTGTTGCTGTTGTTTTGGGACAGAATCTTTCTGTGTAGCCCTGGGTGTCCTGGTATGCTCCATGTAGACCAGGCTAGCCCCAAGCTAGTTGTTTATTTCTAGTTGTATTGCTAGTTGCTTACTTCTGGGTTGCGTTTCCCCCAGCTAAACCACAAACTAGCACAAAGAGAAGAGCGTGTAGACTTCCTCACCACAGCCTGGCAGAGCTGTGTAAGATTTCTTCTCTCTGTTGTGTTTTGCAGGTGGGGAGTTTTAAGAGAGAAATGACCTTCACATTTCAACCAGAGGACTTACGACGCGAGTCCAACAAGAAGACTTCTCACCACTTGTTCCCACTGGCCATGGAGGAAGACGTGAAAGCAGCCGACACCAAAAAAGCCAACCGGATCCTTGACCAAGAAAAAGAAAACACTCGATCCATTTGTCTCCTTGAGCAGAAGCGGAAAGTGGTTTCCTCTAATATCGACGTCCCTCCTGCAAGGTAGGAACATCTCACATGGTTCACTGCTGCTGCAGGAAATGGGTGGAGAGGCCGGCTCCATCTTGTTCCACAGGGTGTATGCTTGGCAAGAGTTGTCTCTCAGGTTGTCGGTCTCTTCTGGGAAGTAGAGCTGGCATTGATGCTGCCATAGTTGAAACTGTTGTAGCCATAGAAAAGGACAGAAGTAACTGCAGAAGCATTAACAGAATGACGCATACTGTGTAAAATTGGTGACACTCGGAGGCAAGTATGCATAGATCCCAGGGGAGGGGCTGCCAAATCATGTCTGTAAGCTACAATTTGCCTCTGTGTGTGGACTGCGAGAGGAGAGTTTAACAATTCCAACAGCTTCTTAAAAGAAGGTGACAGTGACACAGGCTGTCGGTGACCTACAGTCTTCAGTGTATCAGGATGTTCAGTGGTGTCTAGCTGATGTCATGTATGTCTTTTGTAAGATTTATCTAGGCAAGGGAAATGGCTCAGTGAGTAGAGCTTGCCCTGAAAACATGAGGACCCGAATTTCCATCCGCAGAACGTGCAGTCGGGTGCCATCTCAGACACTTATTTAAGCCCAGCTCTTCTGCAGTGTAGTTGAGGGTTGCCAGAAGTTCATGGGCAGCTAGCATGGTGTGCGTGTCACTGAACAGCAGAGAACAAAGTGAGGCCAGCATGCAGCTTGTATTCTGAGGTGCACATCACATGCACTGGGTGGGACACACATGCACACACATGCACACAATGCACTGGGTGGGACACACATGCACACATGCACATCACATGCACTCACGCACACACATGCACACACACGCACACACACGCGCACACATGCACATCACATGCACACACATGCACATGCAGGATAGAGTAACACTAAACATGGTGGAGAGAGTTTGTCATGTTATAATTCTTGTTCAACTTTGTTCTCTCACACCTTCCAGCCTGCAATTTCTCTCCCAGTTCTCTTCCTTCCCCTCTTCCTTTTCTTTCAGTTTCTCTCCACTCCTACCTAGTGGTCTGAAGGTTATTCTTATGGCAGAATGGAAGCAGAGTAGAACACAGCCCACTTGTTCATCCTGGCCGCCCCCGGCTAGCTTAGTCCTGAAATAACCACATAGAAACTGTATTAATTAAATCACTGCTTGGCCCATTAGCGCTAACTTCTTATGAGCTAACTCTTACATCTTAGTTTAACCCATTTCTATTAATCTGTACATTACCACGAGGCAGTGGCTTACCGGCAAAGTTTTGGCATGTCTGACTCTGGCGACTCCATGGCTTCTTTCTCTCCGCCTTCCTTCTCCCAACATTCAGTCCAGCTTTCCCCGCCTACCTAAGTTCTGTCCTATCAACAGGCCAAGGCAGTTTTCTTTATTCATTAACCAATGAAAGTAACACATAGACAGAAGGCCCTCCCACACCACCTGTCATTCCTCTTTCTGATTCTGTATCCAGAACACACACACCCTGTTACTTCTGTTCCTGATTCTGTACCCAGCGCATGCGCGCGCACACACACACACACTCATACACGCACACACACACACACACATACCCCAGCTTCAGGACTTGGAGACCATTTTGCTCATCCTCTGTCCCTGGACTAGAACAATGCCTAGTGGGCACTAGGGAGGGTCTGTGAGCACATGTCAGGTGAAGAAGGAATTAGGAGTACTCGCTCTGCATGGCAGGTTGCTTATTATTAACACGTGTACCCCATTTTGATGTCGGAAATGATTATCATGAAACTTGGCAAGCAGTTGCTTGAGAAGTCCTGCATTTATTCACATGCTTTCTGACAGCTCATGGGGAAAATCGTACCTGGGGGCTGGGAATGACTGGCCCTTTCCACCTGCTCACGTTTGTAATTAACATTTCCATTGTTTTCTGTATTAGAGGGCATATCTTCTCTAGGAAATTACATGTTACCCTATCCAGCTGCCACATCACCAGGCTTTTTAAAATTATAGGCCTCTTTGTTTAACCTCTAATTGCCAATTTCGTATATCTCTTCCGTCTGTTCAACTATTTGTTATTATTTGCTTTTCTATGATTTTTATATAAAATACTTAATTAAGTTATTAAGGATTAGTTTTTCACTGTGGCTTCATTGTGAAATGTTTTATAGGCCCTGAAGCAGGTAGACATGTTGATTCATATGTATGCTTGGCTGACTCATTTGATAAATGACATGTTAGCAACTTGAAAGGAGAAGAACTGTGGATTTATGTGCTTCCCAAGTCTGTCTAAAGTTCAGGGTTGACTTGGAGTTCTGTAGGACCCACCTTACACACCATTGCCCATGGAATCTTCCATATGTGGTAAAAGACCTGGAATTAATTACTTTATATTCTCAGGTTGTTGTAGAGTGTATCTTTACTTCGGTTTTGCACAAGGTCTCATGTAGCCCAGACTAGCCTAAAACTCACCCTATAGCTAAGTGTGATGCCTTCCCCTCCTAAGCACAAACTGTAGGTATGTGCCACCATGCTGGGAACAGAACCCCAGGCTTTGTGTGTGCTAGGTAAGCACACTACCAACGGAAGCACATCCCAGCCCTGCGCATTTGTTCTTCAGCTTCATTCCACCTCTAGTGCCGTCTGGAAAAGGGGGGAAGAAAACACTTCTGCTCTTCTGTTTTCTAGTGCAGGTCTCCAGAGTGTTACACTCTTTGCAGCCATTAGACGTACGTAGAAGCACACTGCACAAGCCAGCATTGTCGTGAGCTCTTAAACAGTAGGGAGAAAGTTAATTGGGTTTTAAATCATCGATATGTAGAGAAAAATTCCCCACTGACAAGGTGTAATTTCGATGAATTAATCTGCTATGAGAAGTGCTATTTAAAGTGTCATAGTGTGGGGTCTGCACGAATACACTTGTTTTCATTGTTGCAGCAAAAATGTAATCATCCTAAACATGCTAACACTTGGCGAAACAAATTGCTTTTTTAATCAAATAGTCTTGAAAGAATCAAGTTCTGCAGAAGAATGTAATTCCCAAACATTTTCTTCTGTTTGTTTACCGTCATTAAGTTATTTAGTAAATGCTCACTTTTGACCAAGTAGATTGATACTTTGTGGTAGGAAACTTTCAGTCACATGGTAAAAAGGAACAAGATTTTTCTTTCTGCTTCCTAAAAGAGAGATAATTACAGCTGTCAGAAATATCTGCTGATGTTTGAGTAAATCTGGAGTGTGGTGAAGTGTATTAGAATGGAGAAGTCTGTATGTCTGTCATTAAATGTGACCTGTAATTAATGTATAATCCACACGTGTCTGTCTGTCTGCACAATTTCCTACAACCCACTCTCCCTCTTCCAGACTGTTTTGGATGCTCCGTATAGGCAGGCGGTTGGTTTGGGCTGTTAGTATCACTGGCTCAGAGCTCTTGGGCACGTTAGGATTACCTGTAGTGTTTCTTATCTAATCTGTTCCTTATTCTTCAGCTTCCTGTAGTTTATAAAGGGAAACATGAAGTTTATTCCCCAGAGTTCATACATGAAAGCAGAAGGCGTGTATATATTTTTTTTCCATATCTCTGGGAATCCTGGCTAACCTGATCTCTGACCCATTTTTGAATTTTCTGATTTCATGTCTTTCCTCCATCAGCAGCTATCTACTGAGTCCCTGTACTAGTGATGTAGGACTTGTTAAAGCCTGAATGGAAGAGGTGCTTCCCTCCAGAAGCTCATGGTGCAGTCAGACAGATAGACACATAAATAACTAAGTCCAAGAAACTATTTAGTATTGTCTGTCTTCTCGTCGGAACTGGGTGAATTTATAACTAAAAAAAAAGGCTTTAATGTTAGGAGAGTGATACATTTGTATGGCTATTTAAAAGCCTGCTTTTCTATTATTAGTGTCCCTTTGAAGATAAGAAGAATGGAATGGAGAAGGAAAAACTTCAAACCTGTGGTCTGTTTTATACATTTTTTTAAAAAAATGCCAGTTTTCTGAGACCCGTTTGAAGGTTGCTGGTATCAGAAAGTATAAGTTTATTACCCCAGCTGTGTTATGTTTGGCCACCTGAGAAGCAAGAGCCAAGACAGAATTCAGCACACAAGCAATTTATTAGGGAAGTAAGTGCTTGTGGGAAGGTGGGGGAGCAGGCAGGGCAAGGTTGAGCCCTCGGGGAAGGAGTGCGGGAAGGGTGGCTGACCATTCCGAGGGCTTCCCTGTGCCTCTGCTGTGTCCTCATCTCTGACCATTCCGAGGGCTTCCCTGTGCCTCTGCTGTGTCCTCATCTCGGGAAAGGAGTGCGGGAAGGGTGGCTGACCATTCCGAGGGCTTCCCTGTGCCTCTGCTGTGTCCTCATCTCTGACCATTCCGAGGGCTTCCCTGTGCCTCTGCTGTGTCCTCATCTCGGGGAAGGAGTGCGGGAAGGGTGGCTGACCATTCCGAGGGCTTCCCTGTGCCTCTGCTGTGTCCTCATTTATGACCATTCCGAGGGCTTTCCTGTGCCTCTGCTGTGTCCTCATTTATGACCATTCCGAGGGCTTCCCTGTGCCTCTGCTGTGTCCTCATCTCTGTCCATTCCGAGGGCTTCCCTGTGCCTCTGCTCTGTCCTCATCTCTGCTCACAGCAGCTTGTGATGCTTGGGATCTAAGCGAGTCCAGTCGATGCTTTTGGAGCCCAGCTCTGGTCCTGGGCCAGTCAGTGCTGTTTCCCTGACTGTCTCTCCTCCTGGAACACTGTCCTAAGTGTCCTCTGTAGTGTAGGCTGGAGGAAGGGCTGGACTGTCAGTGCAGGCCATTAGCCTTTCTTATGCTAGAGAACCAAACTTCATATGAACCAAAGCAGTAATGGCTGCTGGTTCAAGCATTGCAAAGACTTGTACTTTTGAGTAACAAGAGGAAAGGTGTCTCCCTTCTGAGCCGCCTCGGATGGGCAGAGATACTTTTATGAGAACCCCTTGCTGTGGGACCCGACCAGTGTGGCCTGAGTGGATTCAGGAAGAAGCTGTGTTTCTTTGGGGGGAGCGATAAGGACTGTTAGATTCCATTG